GAGAATCTTTGGTATCAAAACCAATGAGATAAGAGTAAAAGGAAAATTCAGAGGAAAATCTAGTCTTAAATGTCTTTATAATTAATAAATACTTAACTAAGTATTCAAATTCTGAAGCCAGGAAGTAAAATAAATCTAAAGAAAATGGGAGGAAGAAATAAAAGCCATACTTAATTAAAGATAAAAATCCTGTCGAAAGAATAAATAAGGCCAACATATGGTTTCTTCAAAATTTCAAGAGAAATAGATTGATGGGGAAAAACATCCTTAAGCTTATACTTAAAACAGCGCAACTGTATCTCTATAAGTGTTTCTTATCTCTCTCCAAATGACCTAATAGCTGTGAGCAATACAAAAGGAACTGAGGTCAAAAATTCCTTAAAATCAGAAAGAATCTAAAATATTTTTTAACTATTTCTTTCACATGTGTATGAATCAAAAGTGGAAGCAATTTTTTTTTTTTTTTTTTGAGACAAAGTCTCGCTCTTGTCTCTAGGGCTAGAGTGCTGTGACATCGGCTTAGCTCACAGCAACCTCCAACTCCTGGGCTCAAGCAATCCTCCTGCCTCAGCCTCCCAAGTAGCTGGGACTACAGGTGCGCACCACTATGCCTGGCTAATTTTTGTTTTTAGTAGAGATGGGGTCTCGCTCTTGCTCAGGCTGGTCTCACACTCCTACCTCAAGCAATCCTCCTGCCTCAGCTTCCCAAAGTGCTAAGATTACAGGCATGAGCCACTGCATCCCACCAGGAAGCAGTATTTTCTAAAATAGGAATACTAAATTATGACTTTCATAAATTCTTGATTTACCTTTACTTTTACTAAAAAGATACTATTGATAGTCAACCATGTATGTTCATTGAGTTGTTTTTCTAAGTAGTGGTGATTCACATTCTCATCCCTTCTCTTGTGACCAAGGGCAGATGAGGGACAGTGCAACCTACACTGGCCTTCAGAAGATTTCTCCAATAATCTGGCCCACATCTACTCTACAGATAAAAGTGGCTAACAGCTTTAAAGGGATCTAAAATTCTTTTAGAGATTTAAAATTTAAACTTTAGAAAGGTTTCTTAATTCCCCCTGGACAGTGAGGACTATACAGCCTCCTTTGCATTCTTACTGGCTACAGTCCCTCTATCCTATCACAGACTTCTTGCAGTTTTTATTGGTCTCCACAATTAGAGAGGAAGCAATGACCAGAAACTCTATGCACTTCCCTCCACTAAATCCATGCATAAGAAATGGTGGCTTACGGAAATTCATCTCCCAACACCCTATGTTGGAAATTACTTTCAAGTTATCTACACAACAAGTTTAGGTAAGCTTTGTTCAAGATTAAACACCTTTACTAAAGTGTACACTTTAAGACTCTCAAGTCAACATACAAGCCAATAAAGTCTTAAGCAATATAGTACCTCAAATATTAGATGAATAGTCTGCACCTCTTAATCATTGAGTCCCTATACTTTTCATCCATTTAAAAAAAACAAAACAAAAACTAGGCCAGGCATGGTGGCTTACACTGTAATCCTAGCACTCTGGGAGGCCAAGGTGGGAGGATTGCTTGAGCTCAGAGTTCAAGACTAGCCTCAGCAAGATCGAGATCCCCATTGCTACTAAAAATAGAAAAACTTAGCTGGGCGAATTGGCGCATGCCTGTAGTCCTAGCTACTATACTGAGGAGGCTGAGGCAGGACTGCTTGAGCACAGGAGTTTGAGGTAGCAGGGAGATATCATAAGGCCACTGCACTCTAGCCTGGGGGTCAGAGCAAGACTCTGTCTCAAAACAAACAAACAAACAAACAAAAAAACCCCACTAAAGTTGAATAATAATAACAAAAGGTCACAAGCGTGAGGAATTTTTGGAGGGTGTATTCTTCATTCTCTATAATCTAAGCAGCACTCCAGCCACAATGTTATGAAATTATTCATCTCTTCTATAATAAAGTGTTTAAAAGAGCGATAAAGGCTGGGGTGGTGGCTCATACCTGTAATACTAGCACTCTGGGAGGCCGAGGCAGGTGGGTCCTTTGAGCTCAGATCAGCCTGAGCTAGAGCAAGACCCTCTCTCTACTAAAAAAAAATAGAAAGGAATTAGCTGGACAACTAAAAA